CTGCCCCCTTTTTCCAGCGCTGCGCTTTCGTTCCTCCATAAATGCCCAATTTCACGTGCAAATCAGTAAAATCATGCAACGTGACCTTTGCAAAACGGGCCGTGCTTGATTTATCCAAGTATATTTATTCATGTTTTTAAAAGCGTGAAAGAGAACTTGCGCCGCTCCTCAGGAAGATATATGCGCTCAGAGATGGAGCAGAACACGGACATGTAAAGTCATCTTTTAGCACCTAAACGGTCAAATACACGCAAAAATGTGTCAAAATGCGGCGCTTAGTGATTATTCATGTATACCTTCGTCGGTCATGTAATTAATGAACGTAAAGAGTTGAGAATGAAAATACGCGTGTAACAGTGAATTGGATCCGTGCGGCTCTTAAAGTGACAGCGGGCTATTTTCCTGCTGCGACTGTGTGCTTAATATTAATCAAACAACAAAAGACAAATTCAAAATCACACACTGCTCTTGAATGAAGGACTTTTGTAGCTTTAATAAGAAACAACGAAAGTTTCATTCTTGCAGTGAAGACTATGCTGTTTTATTTTACATTTGATTATTCATTTCTGTAGTAGGCTGTTTGAAACTTGCATAAAAAACATTAAAGCACAGTTTGTTTCATTTGTATCTTTTTATTCTATTGTATTTGTCCTTTGCTTTTTTATTACTGACAGTTTAATTATTTCCAATAATTTTGAGGACTTTTTGTTTGTTTGAAATTCCGCCGGTCTCTACAATGTAGATGTCATAGCCACCTTATTTACAGGAAATATATATTTGATATGTATCACTATCTTTAAATAAATCACTCATATAAAGTTTTGGTCATATGGCCCCCTCATAATCGTGTTGAATAACCGTGATTACAATATTGGCCAAAATAATCGTGATTATGATTTTCACATTATGATTAGCATCACAACTCCTCAGTCACGGATAACACAAAGTTACTTCTTTCCACTGTGGTCCTTGATTTCAAAATAAAAACTCATTCTGGCTTTGTTGGCTCGTATCTCCACACTAGTACACATGCAAACAATTCACAGAAAACACCTGCACAATCATACACTATTAAAAACAGAAATCAAGCCTATTAAGACAAACTATCAAAACACCGTCTTATTAAACAAGCACAGTCAGGAATGTGCTTCTAAAGACTCCTGCTGGTCTGAGACGGAAACACACAGGGAGACGCTGATACTCACGTCGTCGGCCTGCTGCGGCTCCTGCATGATGAACTCCCGCACCACAGACGGACTGAACTCCACCAGGTAACAGAAGATGTCCGTGGCTGCGGCCTTCACCTGCACATCCTCCATGCCCTTCAACACAACACACCACAGCGTCAGCTGAGCGGAGCACATGTGTCACATCCAGCAGCGCTCACTCACCATCACGATCTCCAGCACCGGCAAGATGCCCAGATTAGCCAGCGTCCTCAAGAAAGCGTCTCTGTTCTGAGGCTGCAGCGTTTGGGAGAAAACACAGAACTCCTTGAAGAAGTTCACCTGCAGACATAGAGAGGACAGGTGTGAACCCCGAGTGTGTGTGTGTGTGTGTGTGTGTGTGTGTGAGAGAGTGAGCGAGTGAGTGAGTGTGTGTGCGTGTGAGAGAGTGAGTGAGTGAGTGAGTGAGTGTGTGCGTGCGTGTGAGAGTGAGTGAGTGTGTGCGTGCGAGAGTGTGAGTGTGTGTGTGCGTGCGAGTGTGAGTGAGTGTGTGTGTGCGTGTGAGAGAGTGTGTGTGCGTGTGAGAGTGAGTGAGTGAGTGAGTGTGTG